GCCGATTTTTCACTGAAAATGGGATTTTTGGTACTGAAACTGAAATTTCAGCACTTCAAAGGTCTCGTGAGCAGACTTTGACAACTGATATATAGGTTTTCGAACATGCTCTTTCGATCTATTTAGGTGGTTTCTGCTGACTCCTACCTTCACTTAAAAGGTTCCCTTGTTAGTGGATAACCTACATTGTGAGCAGCTTGAAGAGCATTTCTCTCTGTGAATTTTTGTACGGTCACTTCCATTTGCTTATTGATGTAAGCACTGAGAGCTTCAACAGAACGAGAACTTCTGAAAAATGTATTAGTCTTCAATATATTCTAATAGTAAAAGATTCACTGTAGAACTTCTAAAAAAAGCTTACTATTAGTTCACAAATCCTTATTCAATTCCACTGTCAATTTTATAACAAGGTCAACAAATGATAACAAACCTGTATTCTCTTTTTGTAACTTCCCCGTTTCTGAACAATTTTAGTGTTGGATACTTATTGACATGATATTTAGTTGCAATGTCATCTGAACCAGAATATTATTATCTACGAATAAGTGATATAAACCCTACTGTTCTTGTCAGCATCCACAGAAGCCCACATAATTTTTCCAGGTGCGGCATCTTTGAATTTTTCTGAAGCTTCCAGGAAGATTGGTTTGAGCATCTGCGAGAAGCGGCACCAATCGGCGTAGAAATTCACAAAGACGAGCTCATTGGATTCTGAAAAAAACATGTTTAGTCTTTTATAAACGCTACTGAAACAAACGACTCACGAATAGTCTGTTCGAAGTTTTGAGATGACAAAGATACAACTTCCGCGGTCAGACTAGCCGGAAGAACTAGTAGTAGGATTAACCACCGAAGCATTTCTGAAAACGATCAAAATTATGCTTCTGAAAAAATCAATTCATGAGATTCTGAGTCAGTGAAATTGAGTCGAAGACACGTGTACTTTTTGCCCGTTGGTCATACACCGCCCAGGAGGCATTAAAAATAGACCGAAATGTATGGAATCATATGAGACGCAGGCATCGAATCAGAGGAGACGCAGTTTGAGAGTCAGCGCTGAGCACCAAAGAGAAAGTGTATGAGGGGGAAGAGCTGGGCGGAGAGAAAAAGAAAAATGGAGAGCAGCTTTACAAACGATTTTTGCATGTGAATACCAGCTTTGTGTATCATTGTCGGACATATACACTGACAATACTCAAACGTTTTGAAATGATGTGAAAACGAAACACATACTTTTTAAACTCAAAAAAATCACAATAGAGTATACTCAACTTTAGATGAGATGTTAGAAGCCAGCATATAAACTACGGATGGTAACCATCGAAGGAAAATATGTCAAATATGGCCTATACATGAATATTATTTTAAAATCTTTCATTCCAACAAAAACAACGGAAATCAAGTTTGAGAGAAAAAAAACATTTTGAATTAACAATAACAATGTGACTGAAGAGAAACAAGAAAAGAAAATACAACAAGCGGCGGATCGATTACTCTCCAAGAAGGTGTTTTTTGTTGATGGGACGAATTGCTCTTCCAGCCTGAAACAAACAAATCGTTACTATTTTTCTTCCTTCCCAGAATATGTACTGAATGCATTTTGAACCTAGAATCAAAATCATAGGCTCCGTGCAAATTTAAGAAAGATGATGTCATTTTATGTTATGCATGAAAAAACATGGAAATAGCAGGGGGGAAAGTAAAAAAGAAGAAAAAGAAGAAGAGCGCTTCGCAACAAAGTGAGCGAAAACTCAACAAAATTTCCTTATTCACTGCTCAAGCACATCATCGATTTTTTTTTCCAAGAAATACTCCAAGGAATACATTCAAAAACTATTTTAGTTTCACCGATGTTCCAAAAAACCGTATGGGGAAGATACGACAACTACAATTTTGTCTTACTTTCAGTCAACAACATCATTTCGATTATTTTGTGTGACTCGTCATCCTAGAGATAGAAATGTAAACAATTGAAATTTCATGTTTTTCTATTTAGACCTTGGAAAGTTTTGATGCTAGATATTTTTGTAACTTTCTCTCTCTCGATCAGAGGTGTTTCCAAGAGATTATTTTTATGTCAACATGAGCAGAATTCAATATTTTTCCGTTTTCCAATAGCCCAGTTCTATATCCCACATCTCTCTTAAATTTTTGACCTAAAACCTTTGTCTTTCAAATAAACCACACATTTTTCCACCTGACTAGAAACATCTACTCTTAGTGTGAATGACCCCAGCTACGGTGGCGACCATATTCCACTAGGTCATCCCGGCCTTGCGGACACAACCTGAATGTCCACATACGAATAGAGCCATCCGGCACTCTGCGTCTCCTACGGACCATACAACCTCTTTTTCTATTTTACACATACATACACAAGAAATGCAAGCGCATCTAAGGGAATTGTCCGACAGAGAGAGGTAGCGAAAGAAAGACAATGAAGGGTGGGGCATAAGGACAACGAGAACGACGTCCCTCGTCATCTCCACGGCCTCCTGTCGTCATATTCTCTCATTAATTTTTATTCACATTCTGGTTGTGCTAGCCAGGAGAGCAAAAAATGTTTCTTCTTTCTCATATTTATTCTTCTAAAGACATCGCCCAATCGATACCTTTTCCAGAAAATCCTATCAACATGAACTCCATCGTCAATGGTCTCTACAACTTCGTCACATCGACCGTCGTCCCAACGGTCACAGAGCAGGCCACCAATTTGGTAGGAGGCGCATCTGCGATTGCTGGTGGAGCTGCTCAAGCTCTCACCCAAATCAGTCAGACCGCTCTCGAATGGGGATCCGGGTCAGAAGATGCGACGGCTTCATCGGAAGTCTTCTCTTGGGAGCAGCAGAAAACCCAGTCTACTGAGCAGAAAAGTGAGGGAGAGACCAGTGTGCATCGTGAGGAGGCTGGCCCATCATCTGCGAACACATCGATCGAATGGGAAGTGGTTCAAGAGAATCCAGAAGACACGGGACCAATCAAGCACAACCAATTCGAGATCGTTCAAAACGACTATGACTGGATGAAAAACTCCAACTGATGTGGGCATGGGTTCATCCCATTTTCGGGTAATAAATAACACTCACTTATTGAATTTCTCTTTTTTGGTAATATTTACCTGTTTTCTGGTTGTACATGCATATTTTTTCAATGAACTAGTCTCCTCATAATCAGAGCTTTTCCCGTATTGTGAACAGCAAAGATCTACAAGTTAGGATCGGTCTTTCAGTTCGAAATCACAGTTTTCTGATTCAGTCAGCATTTCCCCTACACCTTTTCCTACCATCCTTCGAATCTACTTTGTTCTATTATTATGTTCCTATTTCAGTTTATCTCTTTCTTGTATCGCATGCATACAGATTTTCCCCTTTTTAATGTATCCCGGACTTTCTCAGTTACTTGCTACTTTTCGGGTTTATAAATACATGTTTCTTCAACTTTATATTTTGTAGATAAATCTTAAAATATACCTCAACAACAACTGCAGGTTTGCACAGCTCATCGCGCATTTTTTCCATGTTCCATTCAAGACCCAATGGTTGTTTGAGAACAGCTTCATAGTCCTCCACCCGCGAATAAGGGAATGGTAATGAACGTGGCTGGATTTTCCCGATACCCTGAAAACGGAATAGTTTCAAATCTTCTACAGATAATATACATACCTCTTTGGCAGTCATGCTCTCGGCAATAATCAATCCGTTACGTTCACCATCTTTTCTCTTCTTCTCTTTCGCCTTGACCACGAAGTTACGACGGCGTTTCTTTTCTGTCATTCCTGGACCAACCCATGATCCCCATCCGGCGAGATTCAAATCAATGTCTTTCACTCGTTCTTTTTCTTTTACACCTTCTTTCTGTGCTTCGAAATCAGCAATGACGTCGTCATCCTTGAAGGCTTCATTGATAACCTTAGATGCCTCTTCATCAAACTGATCCATTTTTTCGACAAAATCAGACGACACTTGAGTCAAATCGTTATTGTTCAGCTCTAGAAACTTGCTCGGATCCAACTCAATCTCTTTTTGACGTTCTTCAGCAGCATGTACTCCAGCTGCTTGTACCGCTTTTTCAACTTTGTCTTCGAACGTTTCTGCTTTTCGAGCTTCTAATTTTGGGTTATAATCTTTGTCAACGTAGGAAACCTTTCCGACCGTTCCTTTTCGAGCCTTTTCCTTTGCTTTCAACACTTTCTTCTTTTTATTTCGTTCTTTTTTTTCTTCATCTGTCTGCCAAGTTTCATCAGCATCGAAGAGATTTTCTTCTCGAGACGTCCCAGTAATCGCAGATATACTTTTCAAAGCAGCAGCCTCTTGACGTTTCTTGGCTCTCATTTGAGCAAGGGTGATTTTTTGGGCTTCAGAATCGTCTAGGAACGAGTCGACAAGTGCTGCTCCAATTTGTTTTTTTGATTCCTCATCGGCTTCTTGAGCGGCATCCTGCAAAAATTCGACTTTAGCGTGAAAAAATCAGGCTTTTGAATTCTTCAGTTGAGCATTTTCAAAATCAAACAGGTCCGGAAGTTGGAAAAATATCGATAACTAAATCGCAAATGATGAGCGGGGAGTTACTCGGTGATCAAGTAAGCTTTGAAAAATGAGCAAACCAGCAACAATAATTCATTCCAGTCAATCCTCCAAATGCTCATCCCAATCGTTCAACTGGTCACAGTCATTTTTGGTACCGTTTTCTCTATGATAAACTGTGGCGGTGGATCGAAACAGAAACCAAAAAAAGGCTCTGCTGAATCCACTGGTACTACCGGTGGAACAACCGGAGGAGGAACTACTGGTGGAGGAGACGATGATGACGACGAGGAAGAAGAGAAACGAAAAAAGAGGAAAAAGAAGGCAGCAGCAGCAGCGGCAGCAAAGAAAAAAGCAGCGAAAGCGAAAGGGAAAGTGCCTCCTGGAGCTCCTAAACCTCCAAAAAATCGAGCTGCAATTGCTGACACGCATGATCCAAATTATCAAACTTTAGCAGGACTTAACGATAACGTTTTTGATCAAAAAGGTGGAGGTGCCACAGGGGCAGGTGTTGCTAGAGGAGGACCAAAGGCTCCAGCAGCTGGATCGAAACCTGGAATGGCGGGAATTCATGATCCTAATTACCAAACTCTCGCGGGACTCAACGATAACGTCTTCGAACAAAAAGGTGGTGGAGGAGGGGGAGGGGGAGGAGCAGGAGGAGGTGGAGCTCCAGGTGCTCCGAGAGCTCCAGCCCAAGCAGGAGGTAAAGCAGCCACTAATGACCCCAACTATCAGGTAGCATAACTGTGCTGAACTGTTGATCCAAAAATATTTCAGACTCTTGCGGGACTCAACAACGACGTATTCGCAAATAAGGGTGGCGGTGGTGGTGGAAATGGAGCACCTCCAGCTCCTCGTGCACCAGCTCAACCCGGTGGCAAAGCAGCCACTCATGATCCAAACTATCAAACTCTGGCTGGTCTCAATCAGGATGTATTCGGAGCAGACAAGAAGAGATAATTGAGAGAACTGCGAATAACTAACAAAAATTTACCTTTAGTAAATCATGAATGCTTTTCTTCTTTTTTTGGACACTTTCGTTCGGTGCTTCGGCATCGCTATCAGCGTCAGCAGACGAAATTACTTTTGCCTTCAGCTCTCGTCCCATTCTGAAAATTTTCCAAATTGAAATAGAGATTTTGTATCGGATAGCTAGATATAAATACCTCAAATGCTCATCTAAAAGTTTCTTGACTTCTGGATTACGACTGGCGTGCTTTTCCAGCATTTGCTTGAATTTCTGGTTTTGTCCACGATGTTTCAAACTTCCTCTCTCCATGATTCTTTGCAAATCCATTTCTGCTAGCTTTTCGTGTGCGGCCGAGGGATCACGAGTCACTAAATCGTCGAATTCTTTGAGAAGCTGCTTCCTTTTTTCTCTTTTCAAAATTCGATGGTATCCTTTTGACTTGATCTTCTTCATATAGCGATTCTTCGCTTCCTGGATTCCGACGATTGCGCGCATTCGTTGCATTTGTGAAAGGCGTTCTTTTGCCATTTTTATATCCGTAGCTTTCATCACTTCCATCTCCTTTTCTGTCAACACTGGTTCAGTTTTTTCATCCTAAATTAAATTTTTTAAAATATTTTTTTACTAATCAATAGTTCAGACTGGAATACTTACACCCCACATGACTCCGTCCGGCTTTGTGAGAGGGAAGATTAACTGATCACTAATTCTGTTACTTTGAACAAGTTCTGTCCAATTTTGTGTGACTTCTTTCCTGAAATGAAAAAATGAGGCATACTGAAACATTAAAATTCTTACTTCAAATCAGTGAAAGCAATTTTTCCTTCAATTTCTTTACGAGCTTCCACATCTTTGAGAGGAATCAACGTTTTACTCTTCAATTTCTTTCTTGCTGATTTTTCTGATCCACTCGCTTCGGATTTGCGTTTCTTGCCTTTCTGACCTGTTGGCGTTTCAGTGACTTCTAGATCTCCAATTCCGAGACTCTGCTTTGCTTTGTTTGTGGATGGTCTACAAAAATAATAATGGAAATTTTCATGGTTGCTGTATCTGATAGTCACCTTGAAACTGTAATGTGAGAAAGAAGAGAACTTGCGTCAATCTTAGTCTTCGTTAACTTTTTGAGCCGATTATTTTTGACAGAGCCAGGAGTTTGAATCGATTGAAGAAGCTTCTTATGAGCTACATCATCGATGTCCGAATCATCACTCATCGCTACCTGAACTTGGTTTCTGTGCCTGATATAAGTGTCAGCTTCGATTTGTGAGAAGTAAAAAGTACCGAAAATACGAGAGAACTGATTGAAAGCACCATTTTCACAAAACTATTTATTTATTTGAAGAAAATACAAAAAAAATTAAAAATCTGGACCCAAGCACAAACACTGCTGATGTTATGACCGTCCAAAGAACGAAGACAATACATAAAAATTGACTACTAAATTTAAAAATCACTTTCAGATGCAAAAAGGGGGACGAAGCATGTGAAAGGCTTGAATCGCAGATAAAAAAATCGGGATGAGGCCAAATTTTTCCTGTGTAAAATTTAGATGGCGGTGGCGAGAGCATCCTTGTATTTCTTGACGCGGGAAGCAATGGAGAGATCGACGTATTTGTCCCCGATGGTGACAACCAGTCCTCCAAGAATCGATGGCTTGACAGCGTATGTAACAGTCAGCTTTTGTCCAGACTTTCCGATCTTACTGAGGGCATCTGACAGAGCCTTCTGGTTGGAAGAGCTCAATTCTTCAGCAGATGTAACCTGAAAATGTTTTCTCATTGGTAAAACATATTTCGAGGTCTTTCTATTAAAACAGAATGAAATAAAATTACCTGAACAAAAAGCTCTCCGCGGTGAGCGCGCATGATGGATTCGAAAGAAGAAACAACAGACTCAAGCTTGTTAAGACGTCCGTTCTCGGCCAGAAGTCCTGAATAGTTTTCATTGTTTTTTTTAATTAGTTGCCGTTACATACCGAGGAAGTTTCCAGTTTCTTTGGAAAGTCCCAACTTCGTGGAAACGGCCTCGATAGCTGTTTTCTTCTTGAGGGCCTTGAGTGTTGGATCGAGAACGAACTCCTGGAACTTCTTATTGTCCTTGTAGACAGCACGGACGTTGTTAAGATCCGAGGAAATTTGGTCAAGCTTGTTTTGCTTGTGTCCGGCGGAATAAAGAGCGGCGGCGTAGCGTCCTTCAACTCCATGAACTTGGATTGGCGTCTTCACAAGTTGAGCCTTGGCGAGCGCAGCGCTCGTTGAGAATCCGCGTTTCATGATCTGCGCCATTACCTGTAAATTTATGATTTTGAATATTTGGAGTGTTAGAATCTAAAACGGACAAAAGAGTTTACAAATTCATATTTCGTAGAGCAGAAATTCACAATTGCGAGTCAATTTTTTTCCTAAAACTGGTTCAAACTTTATCTGTATAAAATTAGATATTTTGATGATACTAAATCACATAAGTGGCTCAGAACATCCTCATATAGTTTTGTTTTCTTTCCGAGGTTTTTGTTCACAAAAAAACAAGTTTTCCGCAAGAACGGTGTTCAAAAAATAACAGCTATCAAACTAGGAAAAATTACATTTTCATGATTTCTAGCGAAAATGATCAAAATCGCTTAAAATCAATGGAAAACCAGCTGAAAATACAGTTTTAAGAGAAAAAGGGCGGTCGTTGGCTGAGTAGCATTTTCTTAACCATAGCCCCACGTAAGCAGCGAAATCACCGACGGGCTGTTCAATGGGGCGCACTTGCTTTTCAAAAATTTGCGATTAGTGAGGGGCCGCATGGTTTTTTTAGCACATTTGTATGCGGTCATGAGAAAAACCATGCGGCAAAACCATGCCAGGGTTGCAATTTAGGCTCCGCCCCCGACTCCGCCCACTTTTCTCCGGAGTTTTTTTTCCCGGAAATTTTTTTCTCCGGAATTTGCGGGGTCTCTTGCGATTTTCTTTTGTTCCAAGTTTGAGAGATTTTGATTTCGTTATCAAATTCAAAAATCAGATCAGGAAGAAGACAATTATGCATTGATGAAAAATTCATCAGAATACTTAGAAAACATGTTTTACATTCGTTGTTGTTGTCTTGTTCTTTTTTATTGCATTACATCATAATTTTTTTCAGATCATGGGTTTAAAATGGTCCATCTTGGCAATGTTATTGGTGGCATGCGTAGTTGCCGTGGCTGAAAATAAAGTAAGAGTTTTGATGAATCTCTTTTATGATGTTTTTGAAACTTCAGAGCGCATACGCACAAGCCGCTGATAACTTCCTCGATGAACTGTCTGGAAAAGAAGTAGAAGCATTGAGCTTAACGCAAGAGGCACAAAAACATGATGGACACGATCATGGAAATCATGGAGGTCATGAAGGTCATGCAGACCATGGAAGTCATGGATCTCACGGAGTACATGGAGCACATGGAGGCCATGAAGGACATATGATGAAAATGTGGTTCCATGGAGGATTCGAAGAAGTTATTCTTTTCGATTTTTGGAGAACCGATTCTTTGTTTGGTAAGCTATTTCTCTGCATGTTTTGCATCCTATTCGTTGATCAGTGGCTGTTCTCGGTAAACACTTCAGAATGGAATAATTTTCAGGAATGCTTCTTTCGTGTGCTGCGATTTTCATCATGGGAGCTACCTACGAAGGCGTCAAATGGTTCAGAGTCTTCTTACAAATGAATCAATCGCAGAGCCAAGTTCTCGTCAATAAATCTTGTGTTGAGGTAAAGACAAGTTGAGATTTAGATCATAAATCCAATTATAATTGTCTTATAAATATATCTGCTCAAACTGATTTAGTTTGCACTTCAGACTACGCGGTCTTCTGGAGGAACTTGCCATCAATCCATTTCCCGATCACAGAGCAACAAGCCTCAGTCCGAACCATTTCTAGCTTCACCAATAACAAGAAACCCATCAAATTCTCCATTTTCTCCACATCGTCTCATTCAAATGGTTTTGTACATTCTTCAATTGGTGCTCGCCTACTGGCTTATGCTCATCGTAATGACTTATAATACTTATTTGAGTAAGCTAAACATATTTGGTGTCTTTCCCGTTCTATTCTCAATTTAATTTCAGCTGCTGCCGTAGTGCTCGGAGCCGGATTTGGTCATTGGCTATTTGCAGTGCTTCAGCTGCGAAGTTCTGATGGAGAGGTGACAGATTCGTTCCAGACCGACGCCTGTCATTAAAAGCGATCTCTGCCATCCACACGTCATTAAATTCACCAACACTTCCTCTAATTTCCCAAAGATTTCTTCATACTGCGACCTTAGTTTGTCATCTCCGGGTCGTTTGTTTTCTGCGCACCCATACATATTATGGGGTTATTCAGGGAGTCGGCAAAAAAGGAAAAAAACTCCGCGAAAACTCGGAGAGTGTTCCAATCTGGCTGAAACTTTGGGGAAACTGTAGAAAACTATAGGAAACATTTTGCCAAAGTTTGGGGTCAAAATATCAACTTTGAAAATTTGGCTGGA